AGTTCTGGCTGGTGAAGCGACTATCTCTATCACTAACAATTGACAATGGGATTCCATTCTCACTAACCCAAAAGTCAAAAAACCTCTGTATAACTAAGTCCGTACGTGCCTCTACAGGCAAAGGAACGAAAACTGCATATTTGCAAAAACGGTCAACTATGACCATGACTTGGCTCTTACCATGTCTACTCTTGACTTGGGTGTCCATGAAGTCTATGGACACTGAGTCTCCCGGCTGATCCGGAATAGGCAAGGGTCTGAGAAGACCTAGGGGTGCGCGTGTTGTAGACTTATTCCTTTGGCACACTTTACAACTGCGAATATACTCTATGCAGTCATTCTTCATTCCGCGCCAGGTATACGCGCGCATTAGATTGGCTAATGTCTTTTGCCAACCGAAGTGTCCCTCGGTATCGTGGCATTCCCCTAGGATCAGACTACGAATCTCCTCGTTGTTGGGGACGCACAGGCGGTCAAACACATTAGTCTTCTCAAACAGCAATCCGTCTGTAGTGCGGTAATCTGGTTCGGTCTCTGGAGCCTCTCTAACTCTCTTTAGGAGGTCGCTATAGATAGGGTCCTGCGCATATGCTTGCTTCACTTTCTCCTGCAGGTCTTTCCCTATATCCAGATAGTGTACTACAGCTCCAAAGTAGTCTGATCTCCTACTTAGAGCATCCGCAACCACGTTATACTTGGCCTTCACTGGCTTGAGCTCAAAGTCGAATTGGTCTATCTCTGCGGCCCACCTGGTCAACTTAGGTGTCATCTTGGCCTGGGTCTTCAACCATCTAAGTGTTTCATGGTCCGAATAGACTTTGAAGTGCCTCCCAAGCAGGTAGTGCTTCCAATGGTCTAAAGCCTGTCTGAGAGCGTAGAGTTCTCTCTCGTACGTGGAGGTAGTAACCTTCTCACAGGGCATCCTCGCTGACATGAACTCTACGGGTCTATAACCATTGCCGTCGTCTTGCTGCAACACGGCGCCTATCCCATACGGACTCGCGTCCGTGGTAACGACAAATGGCAAGGATGGATCTGCTACTTTGAGGACAGGATATTCTATTAACGCGCGCTTTAACTTCTTGAGCGCAGACGTACAATCTTTATCCCATTGCCAGATTGCCTCTTTCTTTAGYAGTCTGCGCAAGGGGGCGGCGATAGTGGAGAAGTTCCTCACAAACTTCCTATAGTAATTAGCTAAGCCTAGGAACGACCGTAACTCTGTTAGTGTGCGGGGCGTCGGCCAGTCTCTRATCGCCGCGATCTTGCTGTCCTCTGGCTTAATGCCATCTCCGTCCAACACGTGGCCCAAGTACAAGACTTGCGTCTTGGCCCACTCGCACTTCTTCGCGTTGATCTTGAAGTTAGCCTCTCTAAGCTTCTCCAAGACCTGCCTCAGATGACCTTGGTGCTCCTGGAGGGTCTTACTAAAAACTAGAATATCATCTAGATAAACTACCACAAATTTGTCTAACCACGGTCTAAACAGGTCATTCATACAACATTGAAAAGTAGCTGGCGCGTTGGTTAGTCATAAGGGCATCACTATGAACTCATAATGTCCGTATCTCGTCTGGAACGCAGTCTTGTACTGGTCATCAGGATGGACCTCTATCTGATGATATCCGGACTTTAAGTCTATCTTAGAGAAATATTTGCACCCCTGCACCCGATCTAAAAGATCGTCTATCCTGGGCAGCGGTTCAGCATTCTTCACGGTAATCGCATTCAAACC